GAGACAGGGTCTCACTGAGTTACTTAGTGCCTTGCTAAATTGCTGAGGCTGGCTTTGAACTCACAATCCTCCTGCCTCAGCCTTCCTAATTCTGGGATTATGGCATCACAGATGTTTGCCACCAAGCCCAACATACCTATTTTTAAAAGAAGCAAGAAATCTGGACTTTTGCCTGAAATTACCCATAGTAACCCAAAGGTTGGCAACAAACTTTTTTTTTTCTTTTGTGGTACTGGGGACCAAACCCAGGGACTGCAGGTGCAAGGCAAGCACCCTACACTGACACTCCCACCCCTCACAGATCTTTAAACCCCACAGAGCAAAGAGAGCAGAGGCTGCGTTCTGACAGGGTCCTGGGCTGCCTGCTGCAGCCTGGCCTGGCTGCTCTGAGCCACGCACAGGGGGCACTCAGTGAGTGCTCGGTTCTGCCATCATTCTTAGTGTTGAACTGGGGCCATCCCCACCCAACTCTCTGCCTTTTCCAGGAAGTTGGAGGGGCTCAGGATGACCGAGTGACATCTGCTGTGCCCAGTGCAGTGAGAACAAGCATAGAGGAGCACAGAGCCCTGGGGAGGAAAAAGCAAGATGGATGAGGAGAAAACACTTTGTAGGACAGATGACCCGGCAAGATCATTGTACTGTCATGTGTAACTAATTAAAACAAATTAAAAAAATAAAAAAAGAAGATATGAGGCTTCCGTGGAGCCTTGAGAAATGGGCAGGAAGTTCGCCAGAGGGAGAGCAAGGAAAAGCTACAGAGAGAGGATCCCAGACACGCAGGGGAGAGTAGAAGGCACCTCTGCAGAGCAGGATGGGAAGAGGAAGGCGTAGTCCCTGCTGCCAGAACCCCCCTGCAGGCAGCACCTCCTCAAAGCAGCTCTCCGTCCTCCTCCTGTGGCCCTCAGGCACTTACCATTCTGATGGGCAATCTGATCAGGTCAGCCCGGCACCGGATTTTGAGTGGGAAGAGCCGGGGATTCTCTGGGAGCGTGGGCCCCTCCACTATGACCACCTCGTCGTCTTGGCTCTGGCGGCCTTGGCCCTGGTGCTGCTTGGGGCTCAGGGAAGATCGGAGATCTTGGAGGCGCTTGTTCACTTCCCTGGGTGCAATAGGACTCTGGGTCAGCTGAGGTCAGCCACCCTCCCAAACTGTCCTCCTTCACCCCATCCAGAGCCCCATGCCCCTGACACCTCAGTTTCTGGAGTGCCCGCGTATGCTTTCTGCTTTTTGTCCTTGGTGGAGGTGGGGGCAGAGGAGAGGTGTCCCGAGCCCTGTAGAAAGAAGAGAGGGACAGGATGAGGCAAAGGAGAGACTCCAGCCCCCACTTCTCTTCCTGGGCTGTGGATCCCCAAGAACCTGAGGGGAGCTGGAGAATCAGAAGAAAGCACTTTCTAGTAACTTCTATTTTACTGGAAGACAGGGGTAGGTAAGGGACAGGGAACAAGACATCAATTTTTTATTTACAAGACCCAAATATGAAGGGAAGAAAATGTCTCACTTGAAGATAAGTCACTTCCCAGGTTAATGTCCAATAATCTATAACAGATATAGGCATTGACTACTCTTCCTCTACTCGACAACTCTCACACAGGTACCACGAGGACAGAGAAGCAGAGAAGACGGCAGACAGGCACCGGGTAGAATGTGACCACACGCTCCCCCTGCATTACCCCACCTCAGACTCCACTTCCATGGCTGAAAGGCCCTGGGGGCGTCTCCTCTTCAACCAGGAGCTTGATTCCCCACCTGGCTCTCAACACCCCTTCCATCCCTTCTCCTTTCCCTTTCAGGAGCCACCAAAGGTCCTGCCTGCCTCACTAACCTAACTCCCTTCCTGTCCCCGGGGCCCAAGAGCCCAGCCCCACTCACTCAAACACCTTCTTTTTCTTCTCTTCTTTCTCATCCTTACTCCTCAGCTTCTTCTTCCAGGGAGAGTCTGGATGTGGGAGATCCTCAGGGTGGGGACTGCTAGCATCTGCCACATCTGCCTCTGGGAACAGAAGAGAAAGTGGAGAGGGTTGGCCAAGGGGGGGGGGCGGGGGCTACCAAGAAGAAACAAGTCAAAGACTTTGAGAGAGGCCCAAGGGCTGGGGTGTGGCTCACGGGGAGAGCACCTGCCTGGCATGTTCCAGGCCCTAACACCGTAACAAACTAAAAAGAAAGGAGACTGGAACCCCGTTAAGTCACCATTTTTAACTTATATTTCTATTAAAAAGAAAACAAATATTATTCTAAAATACAGAAATTTTTTCCCATTTGCTCAATGCCAATAAATTTGAACATAAAACATCAAAATAAATGCTGTTGGGCTGGGGTGTAGCTCAGCAATAGAGTGCTTGCCTAGCGTACACAAGGCCCTGGGTTCTTTTCCCAGTACCACAAAATAAGTACTGCACAAATGAAACAATAATGAACTCTAGATCAGGAGTTCTCAACAAGGGGCAATTTTGCCTCCCAGGGGACATGTGACAATGTCTGGAGAAATTCTGCCGTCACAATGTGGACAGGAAGGGGGTTGTGATGTGGTAGTGAACAGAAGTCAGTTCCTATAGTACACTGGACAGCCTTCCTACAAAAAGAACTTTGCAGTCCAAAATATCAGTAACGCTGAGGTTGAAAAATTCTGTCCTATCTAAACAAGGCAGCTGTCACAAGCATGAAAATCTTGTATTTCTAACAAACTCCCAGGGGATGCCCAACTGTTGGGCCCACATTTTGAATAGCAAGGATGGAGGTACCTTCTGATAGTACTTCTACTTTCCAGGTACTGTTCTAAACTATATACATTGCCAAGAAACAGCTCTCTATATATTCCCTTAAAATAATTCTCACCAAAATCATGTTAACATAGATCCAATATTATCCCCCTTTTCCTAATGAGAAAATTAAAGCATTAAGAGGTTAAATAACTTGCCCATGGTCACACAGTTATTGAGAGTTAGGGCTGGGATTTGAAGCCAAGCCAAATCAGTATCTGGTACCCCTTCATGGTACCAAAGTCTTGGTCAAGGTCTGCATTTACAGATGGGATCACTTCCTCATTAGACTTGATTCCTATTCACTGTCCTTGGGTGGTTTGCAAAAATCACACATGACTGGGGGAGGATAAAGGCTGTGCAACCCTGATAAGAGTCAAAGAACATCCTTCTGGCTCCAGGGTGTTCCCATGGACTTGGTGCAGTTGTAACAAGATATCACAAATTCTAAACACTCCCCTTCCCCTGCCCCGACTAGGATCACAGAATCAGAATGTCTGGGGGTGCCACCCAAAAATCTATACTAATACACTCTTCTGTCTGTTAAGAGTCAGGAAGGGGCTGGGGCTGGGGCTTAGCGGTAGAGCGCTCGCCTAGCATAAGTAAGGTCCTGGGTTCCATCCTCAGCACCACATAAAAATAAATAAACAAAATAAATATATTTTTAAAAAAGAGTCAGGAAGAGGGTGGTTGGACAGCACTTCTAAGTTGGCTCCAGTGCTTTCTAGTTAACAATCCAGCTCCTTCCAGGACTGGAGTCTTTTAATAGGTAGAATGTAGGAGAGTCCCCTCTCCCATGTCCTTTCCTTGAGTCTCAAAAGACAATTAGGGCTGGGAATGTGGCTCCCAGATGGAGTACAAGCACAGTCCCTAGGCTGGATTCCAAAACCACAGTAGAGAGAGATAACTGGATGTAATCCCCAGAAAGTCTCCTTGGGGAAGCCCATGCTCCCTTACCTTCCTCAGCCCCTTCAGGGCAGAGTTTCAGGAGGGACACATGATCTGGGATGAGGTGGAGGCTGCTTTGCACCTGTAAAGACAAAAAGGGGAGGATCAGTCCCAAGTTCTCCACCTCCCAAAAGGGAACATGAAGGATGATTCTTCTGGCACCCAATTCCTATGTCCTCCCTAAGGATGAGGATACTATGGCCCACTCTAGGCAACTCAGAGGAGTCCAGCTTCTCCAGAATCCCATCTTTCTTGTTTTCCAGTGCTGGGGTTTCAATCTAGGGCCACATGCATGCTAGGCAAGCATTCTACCACTGAGCCATATCCCCAGCTCCCCCAGGATCCAAAAGTGTAGTACCAAGCCCCTTTCCCCAAGGCACTCTGAAGATGGAGCGATAGTTCTTTTAACCAGGTGTTTAGCTATTCCTCTACCCTAGACCACTAGTGAACCCCAGCCCTCTCGCTCAACCTACCACCTGGGGACCCTGGCCTCCTGAAGCGAGCCCCCCAGTCCTTCTGAATCCCTCCCTATGAACCCCAGCTCCCTGGCTTCCTTAGCAATGGACTCCAGTCTCAAAGTTCAACATGCCCCAAATCCCAGCTTCTCCCAGTCCCTCTGCCTCCCTATGCCCAAGACAACAGAGCCCCACATTTGCAACATACCCAAGTCCCTTCACTTCCCCAATCTGCAGGTGCCCCAGGAGCCTCGCGTCTCACCCGAGCCCCGGTTTCTGTTTAGCCCGGCAAGGCCACCCCCAGCCCCCAGCCCCCGCACACCCGAAACACAGCCCTCCTGCAGCCCCCCGCCCTTCAGCCCCCGGCGCTAGCCCTCCCGAGAACCTGGCTGCACCTTCCCGGAGTACACCGGAACCACCGGCGCCTCCCCCGGATCCAGCAGCAGCCGTCGCCGCCGCCGGATCAGAGTCCGCTGGGCTCCCGCAGGCCGCGCGTCGGCGCCTTCACTGTCACTGTCGCTGTCGGCCCGGGGTGCGGCCGGCTCTGGGGGCTCCGGAGACGGGACCACAATCGGGGACGAGACCTCAGCTGGCTCGGCAGCACCGCGCGCAGTCGCGACCTCCACGAAATCCTCGTCGCTGTCGCTGACCAAGTCCACCAGCACTGTGTCCGGGGTGCGCCGAGCTGGAGACCGCTGGGCGCGAGGACGCCGGCCCCGACCGCCCCGGGCTCCCCGAGCCCCTCGGCCAACACCGCCGCCTCGGGGCCTTCGACCCCGTCTCCTCGCCGGTTCCGCCATGGCACACGCCGGCCTTTCCTCTGGGCCGCCCCCCTCCAGCAACTTACGCCTTTTACTGGGCGAACAGCCCGCTGGCCAGCATCCCTCTCCGCACGCACGCTCTGGGCCCGCCCCCTGCCACTTCATTGGTCAACTCACCCGTCCATCACGCACCCACCACTGAAACAAAGGCGCCAAAGATTCCAATCCCCTCGGTGCAATCAGCGAAGGTTTCGATTGCGTCCGGCTCCCCCATTGGCCGGGCTTCTTCCCTTCAGACGAGCCTTTCCCCGGAGCCGCCACGGAAGAGACCCGTCGTCTCGGTGGCGGAGGCGCGGGGCATCCTGGGAATTGTAGTGCTCAGAGAGGCGGAAGAAGGAGCGGGAAACGCCTCACGAGCTGCCGAGTTAGGCCTGAGGTTTCGCGGGTGTCCGGCCACGGCCCCCCCAGCCCACAGCCGACTGCTGCAGGCCTGAGGAATGCCACTCGGTGCCACATTCGCACACAGGTACACCGACCCTCATGTCGGACGCCTTCAAACCCACACCCAAGAGCACACACTTGGCACAGCGCGGCTCCTTCCAGGGCAGAGGCAGATTAAAATAAGAGGCTTAATTCTCCCTGCTGAACACAAAGGAAAAGACTTCTCGTCCTTCTCTTTCAAAATCTGCCCTTTCAAATACAGGTGCTCCTCGATTTATGATTTACCATTGCAATTAACATGCGCAACCCACAGAAGGTCGCGGCGCGGCACCGCAGTGCACCTTGCAGCACTGGCTGCTGTTCCCCCGGGTGACGGCAGGGTTGACTGGGAGCTGCAGCCCCCCTCCCTGCCCAGCATCATGTGAGAAGATCGTGCTAGCCCGGGAACAGACCAAAATCCAACATTCAAAGTGCCGCATATGCTGATCTTTATAATGCCTTTCACAACTCAGGGGTTCACAACTCAGAGCTGTGTTTTGTGGGTTTTTGTTGTTGTTGTTTTGGGGGGCGGGGGTTGCTGGGAACTGAATTTAGGACCTGCCAGTCAAGCACTCATCCCCAGCCCAGGGGATATGTGTTTTCGAAATGCAAATGTTAAGGGGATTTCACACACACACACACACACACACACACACACACACACACACACACACCTCCCAGTTCCTAGGGGAAAATAAGAGCCTAACTTCTCTGGTCATCTTGCTCCAATATGCGAAACTACCAAAAAAGTTTGTTCCCTCTCCAGCAAACGTCTTAGCACAAGTTGCCTCCTTGCTTATCATGCATGATAAAGTTAAGATGAACCACGTTTCACTAAAGGTTTAATCAACTCCTTTTGAGGAGTTGTTCATCTTGAAAGCCTGATATCAGTTTTGAAATTTGACCTTAAATAGCAGTGGGGCTGGGGGTAACTCAGCGGTAGAGCAAGTGCTTGGCTTGCTGGAAGCCCTGGGTTCAAGGGTAAGATTTCTTTCTGCCTTTGCAATCTTCATGGATTGCTTGTGATGCCAATCACATTCTAGCTTAATGCATACTCTGTAATAAAACCTTCCTGTCCCCTACTACCTTTGTGGAGAGGGTTATTGGGTGGAGAGATTTTTGTTTTTAATTCTATTCCCCCCAACACACCCACCCACACCCCACACAAATGGTATCATACACCTCCAACATCTGTATCTTCCACACAAGTCCTGAGCAATGCAACACAAACACACCTCTTCAACACTTCACACCTCCCACTTTGCCTCCAACTGTAGAAATCCCTGAACCTCACACCATACGTCCACAGCAGGCTTCCAGTGACACCCACACAACAGGCACCCAACTCCACAAGACACACACACAAATGTTCATGTAAGTTGTACTGCACACATCCATCCAGAACAGCATCTCAAGTGCCACCCACATCCCATTCTGGACACCACCAGCACCATCTCAATGACATCCCCCCACACATTCACCCCAACACAACACACCCTCAGATCCTCCACACTGACTCACCCGGGTCAGGACTGAAGACTCACGCCAGCAGGTGGAGCTGTTTCTCAGTTCACAAAGGCTACTGGGCTCTGACAGAGGGGACTCCAAGGACTTCCCAACCCCAGGAGACTTTTGTAGGCAGGCTGGAAGCATCGATTGCACCAAAGGCCCCGATGGGAGACCAAAATACACCTCCCCAAAATATACTTATTTGGCGTATTTCATGATGGCTATTCAGAGAAATGCTGAAGTCTGTAAAAGACACATTTATAAAGGAAATTGATATTATGAAAAGTAAACGGTATTTGCTAGTGGTGGCTTTCTCTCCGGTCCCCTCTGAGGTAGAGTAGAGGAAAATAAGAAAGAGGAAGAAAGGAGATATAAAGGAAGGGCAAGGAAATTAAAATTTAAATTCAGAAGTTTTATATACTCTTCTAGGCCTAAGACAGTCTCTCAGGCCTGTCAATCCCAAATTTCTAGAAAATAAGTAAATTTGTCTTGAGTATGATTAATTATCCCCCCAATAAATAGATTGAGCAAAGAGAGATATGACATGTTAAGAAATCTACTATTTAGGTGGACTTTCCAGGGCTCTCTATTGATCAGATCACCTGAGATTGACCAGATCACTGGAAACCATGTTGAGATTACCATGACATCACTCCTACATACCTTCCTATTAACACCCCTTAAAAGAAGAGCAGGGAACCCCCCAAATCAAGTGTCTCATTCTTGAGATGACCCATATTGTCCCTTGAATGCGTTGATCTACTTTCCTAAATAAACTTCTGTCTGGTGTGCACTGAAATTCTCTCTATCACGTAGGCCCCAAGAACCCCACTGGTCCTGAATGGAGTTCCACCTTCTCTCCAGAAACTCCTTGGACCTTTTCGGGAGACAGACACCTCTTCACCTGTGATATCTTAGTTTGTCACCCCCTCCCCACAGAAGACCCAGGTCCCTGTTTATTTCTATATCTATAGTTTATATATGTTATGTATTACATATAATATCACACATATTATCCCCCATCACGTGTCCCTTCTACCTTGCAGGGCTGAGAAAAGTAGAGTTTCTATGGAGTGGCACCTGACACCAGCTTCTCTGAGACTCCCTGGCGTGGACATCCCTGAAGCCAATTATTTCTCTCTTTAGAGAATAATATGTAAACTTCAACTATCTGATTTATTTTTCTTTTTTAGTCTCATAATTTTGTGTGATTCCCATGCATGTGGATGTACTTAAAATGATTTTTCTAGCTGGTGCGGTGGCCTGTAACCCCAGCCACTCAGGAGACTGAGGCAGGAGAAGCAGGAGTTGAAGGCCAGCCTGAGAAAATGAGTGAGACCCAATCTCAAAATGAGACCCTGTCTCGAAAAAAAAAAAAAAAAAAGAAAGAAAGATTTTTTTTCTCTTGTAAATTGTCTGCTATCAGGTTATTCCAGAGTCTCAAATTATCCAATCTTCAGAAGGAAAGGTTGTTTTTTGAAGATGGGCTCTTACTATGTGGTCCTGGCTGGCCTTGAATTCCTGGGCTCATGCGATCCTCCTGTCTCAGCCTCCCTGGTAGCTGGAACTACATTAAAGTGCCACTGTACCTGGCTGACCGTCGAAAGTCTAAAACAGCCTACAGCCCTCTTTTAGCCATGGGCCCCACCTGGGAGGTGACTCGAAGCCAAGATGCAAGAAGTGACACCGAGGGCCTGAAATGTCCCTCAAGTCTCCTTCTCCCCAAGCTTCAGGAGCTAAAAGTGGCCCAGCGTGGAAGGGACAGAGGTGGGATTCAGACCCATGTGGCCTCATTCTGGAGGCAGCACCCCTTCTCTTCCAACCTCAGCTTCCCCGCCACCCCCCACACTTGCCTGAGTGGCGGAGCCCACAGCTCCTCCCACCCCCCAACCTCCAATGCATGAGGCTCCCACAGCAGAACTTTCCATAATCCTATGTTTGCTCCTCCTCCTTCCCATTTCCTGAGCCTCTGAAGATCACTACCATCCCCTAGCTGGGTACATGGGGCAAGGAGACTGGGACAAGGAGCTAACTTCAGGAAGGCAGGACATTTTGACCAGAAGTCACACTAGAAAGGCTTCAAGCACAGATGGGAAACTCAAGTGAACTGAAGAAAGCAGATTTGTGTTAGGCCCGTAAGACCAGCAACTTGGGAGACTGACGCAGGAGAATCCGAAGTTCAAGGCCAACCTCAACGATTTAGTGAGGCCTGAAGAAACTTAGGGAGACCCTGTTTCAAAATTAAAAATAAAAAGGGCTGGGATGTGGCTCAGTGGTAATCTGCCTTGGGGTGCAATCTCCAAAATAAAAAATACAGAATCTTCTTGTTTTCTTGGTGCCAGAAATAAAGAAGGAAATCCAAGTCATGATGGTTCTGGAGGAGGAATGTGAGGTCAAGCAGCCCTGGGAATGGCTTTGTGGTACTGAGGATTGAACCAGGGATGCTCTACCATGGAGCTAGGTCCCCATCCCGTATTCCTTTTTATTTTGAGACGGGAGTCTCACTAAGTTGCTGAGGCTGGCCTAGAACTTGTGAGTCTCCTGCCTCAGCCTCCAGAGTTGCTGGGATTACAGGTGTGTGCCCCTGCACCTGTATGTCGGATTGTCATTTTCATACTCACATGGGGACAGAGGTCAAGGCTGAGGCCCCAGGAACAGCAGCAAACTGCAACTGCTTCCTGACCAAGGCTGGAAATTGAGGAGGGAATATCTCCTCCGGGCCCAGACAAAGGAGAAAAAAAATCAATCCTTCCCCAGGGTCTGGCATGGGACATGGACGTAAACCATCGTGGGTAATCAGGATCTCAAGGCTGGTGGAAGTCGGGTCCTGACACAGCCCAAATCTCTGGAACAAAAATCTACTTAGACAAACTCATGAATAAAATGGTCAGAAACCTGTGTGGCTGGTAAGACAGCGGCAGAAGCCAAAGTAGGCTGGCCCCAGGGGCAGGCAGTGGGGCCCAGGGAACTCAAGGGATTCCCACAGGCAGGAGAAACACAAAGAAGTCAAGAAACCCTCCATGGTGACACCAGGAAACCACGGGAGAATTCACACCATTATAAAGATAATAGTGCTGGGCGAAGTGATCCCAGCGGCTCAGGAGGCTGAGGAGGGAGGATCACGAGTTCAAAGCCAGCCTCAGCGAAAGCAGGGCACTGAGCAACTCAGTGAGACCCTGTCTCCAAATAAAATACAAAATAGGGCTGGGGGTGTGGCTCCGTGGTCGAGTGCCCCTGAGTTCCATCCCTGGGACTCTTAATTAATTAATTAACTAATTAATTAAAAATATAAGGATAATAGTAACCATACAAGGCCTCTTCCCTGGTGCCATTTCATAGTTAGAGAAACTGAGGCTCAGACAGGTTCCTTTGCCACAAGCCAGTTAGCAATCAAAACAGGTGTGTAACTCCTCTGTGCCTCAGTTTTCTCAGATGTACGATGAGAATTTTATTCCTTCTTCCTGCTAGGACTGTTGTGAACGTACATTGAGATGGTACCTCTAAAACACTTAGAAAGATGCCTGGCACATAACAGTAATCTTAACACAGGAAAAGTAGGTTTAAAAGGTTCAGAGATAAAGAAGAACTCAAAAGGAAAAAAATAAAAATTAAAAAAAAAACCCCAAGGTTTATTTTATTTTATTTTATTTTATTGTAGTTGTAGAGGTACTGAATGCTGTCCCACCAGTAAACCCTCAGGGTCACCCCAAGTGAACTGGGCTGCATGAAATAACCACACAGAGACAGAGTGTGGGTCCTGTGTGGTCTCCTCTGACCTGAGGGGTCCGTGGGAAGAGAGCAAGGAGCACGTGCTGAACCCTTTTTATGGGGAGAAGCCATTCATATGAGGCACGGGGTAGGATTACACAGGAACAGGTGAGTGTAGCTCAACCCCTCTGGGTGCCACCAATCCTAGGGCCACACCTTGTTATTCCATCGAGGGAAAAGCGGAGTCAGGGGTCAGGCAGCACTACCGAGCCAGACTACAGTGATCTTTCAGATCCCCCCATGGTGCATTTGGGGTAGCTCCCCACAGAAGGCCTTTAGTTTATTTGTTTATTTTGTTTATTTGTAGAGAGGATTGAAATTTCTGGAGCAAGAGGACTTGGGTTTTCAGAAGCTAGTTCTGGGTTTCAGAAGGCCACTGGACTTGGGGACACTGGTGGTGGCAGGAGAAGCAGGCCAGGCAGAAGACATCAGAAATACCGTGACTGATGACAACTTTTCCCCAGATAAGAATTTGGATGTAGCCAGGTGTGGTGGTGCGTGCCTATAATCCTAGAGGCTCAGGAGGCTGAGGCAGGAGGATCTCGAGTTCAAAGCCATCCTCAGCAACTTAGTGAGGCCCTAAGCAACTCAGTGAGACCCTGTCTCTAGTAAGATATTTTAAAAAGGGTTGGGGATGTGGTATCCACATGGATACCAAAAAAAGAAAAAGAAAAAAAGAATTTGGAGCTTTCTACAAAATTATTTTTGGGGCTGAAGACTTTTAGTCTCTGATTTATTTGGCTTTTTAAAAATTTATTTTAATTTATTATTATTATTATTAATCCTGGGGATTGAACTCAGGGCCATTTTACTACCGAGCCACATCTCCATCCTTTTTTACTTTTTATTTTGAGATAGAATCTCACTGAATTGCCCAGGCTGACCTTGAACTTGCGATCTTCCTGCCTCTATCTCCCGAGTTGCTGGTATTACAGGCGAGCACCACCAGGCCTGGCATCAGTTAGCCTCTCTGGTGCTCAGTTTCCTATTGATAATTTTACACCTAGAAGGGAGAGTGTCAAGATTGAAAATAGGCTGGGGACAGTGGCACATGCCTGTCATCCCAGCAGCTCAGGCTGAGGCAGGGCAGGAGGAAAGGGAGTTCAAGGCCAGTTTCAGCCATTCAGCAAGGACCTCAGCAACTTAGTGACACCCTGTCCCAAAATAAGAAGGGCTGGGTATGTGGCTCAGTGGTAAAGTGCCCCTGGGTTCAATCCCCACTACCACCCCCCAAAAAAAATATTGAGTAGGGGCTCAGAATTGGATTGGATGGACTCAGCACTTAATACCTTGGCAAGCCTTGGGCTTGTTATCTAACTTCTCTGCCTCAGTCTCCTCATCTATGAAATGGCCATAATGAAGTATACTTGCCTCTTAAGTTTGTGAAGATGAAATGTGTTAATATAATCTTATTGATCCTGGGGATTGAACTCAGGAGACTAAAAGGACTTCTGAAAGGACTTCTCCCCATTGGCAAGCGAGCAATTAATTCTGCAGCAGATACCAATTGGGTGTCCCCTAATCCAGCTCTGTTCTGCACTACCTGGAGAGAGCATCAGATCCCACAGGTTAGGACACAGCCCCCCAAGACTGCTCCCCTCCTCCTTCTGATGCCGATGGCAGCCCCCAGCTTGCTTTACCTGTGCTTCTGACCCACTGGCTACAAACCAGGGTTCCCACGACCCTCTCCTTGGATTCCATCAGCTTGCCAGAGTGGCTCACAGAACACAGGGAAACGGATTTACTAGTTTGTTACAGAAGACAGATGAAGAGAGGCACAGGGCAAGGCCCGTGGGACAGGGCACGAGGCTTCCACGGCCTCTTCAAGGCACCCTCCTCCAGGAACCTCCCCCTGTTCAGCTACCCTAACGCTCTCCAAGCCCTGGCCTTTGGGGATTCAAGGAAGCTCTGTACGTGCACATGATTGATTACACCACTGGCCACTGGTGATCAACTGACCTTTAGCTCCTCTCTCCTCCCTGGAGGTTGAGGGGTGGGCTGAAAGTCCTAACCCTCTAATCCTGCTTTGTTCTTTCTTATGACCCCCGTCCTAAAGTTCCCTGGGAGTTGACAACCATCCGTCAAGTCAACTCGCTAGATAGAGTTCTGGAGATTCCGAGGATTTCAGGAGTTATCTGTATACCAGGAAACAGGGATGAAGACCAAATATTTATTTCATGGAGCTGAGGGGGTAGATTGGTGATAGAACACATGCTCAGCACCCATCAGGCCACAGGGTCAATCCTCAGCACCAAAAAAACGGCATAGTGGTGAGTGCCTGTAGTCCAGCTACTCAAGAGGCTAAGACAGGACGACCACTTGAGCCCAGGAGTTGACCAGCCTGGATACATATAGTAGATGCTCAATAAATAAAGACTGTATGATGATGGAAGATGCGTCTAGGTAGTCTG